TATATATATATATATAAAAGATGAAGGAAAAAAAATTGTTTTTGATAATTAGGGCAGGTACAATAATTCATGAATTTGAATTGACTCGAATTGACTCAATAAATTTAAATCAATTTTTTTTAGTGTTTAGAATAGATCTAATCAAACTCAATTAAAACTCGATATTATATAAGTTGAATAATGTGTTTTTTATTTTTTTTTAATCTGTGATCCAATCCGACCTAATCATTTATAATAATAATAATAATAAGTTAATATAATCAATTATCAAGACAATACACTTTGTCACTCTTGCTTAATAACAAATATTGTGTTTTTAGATTGATAACATTATAATAATAAAACATTTATTTTAAATTTTATTTTATATTAATGATTATTTGAACTAATAATAATGTATCGAATCAAAAAATTTATTTTTTAATTTAGTTTGTATCATTATTTGTTTTATTAGTTGATAACATTATGTTTGTAACAAGATATCAAATAATTTATATTTATTATAAAATATTTTAATTTTTATAAAAATAAAAAAATTTAATTATGTTGATCCGATTAATTCAATCTAATCCAACTAGTCATGATTGGATTGAATTTAAAATAAATACAAATCTGACCCAATCTAACATGTAAAATTTTAATGGAATCGAATAACGAATTCATCCAAACTCAATCCAATTCTACCCATTTACACCCATATTAATGAAATAAATCTTAACTTTGGTGGTGAGATATAGTCCGGAACCTACTATTACACTAGACCTTTTCTTTCCCATAAATTCTAAAGAATTTTTTAATAAATAAATATGAGACCACTACTATTATTATTATTATTAAAGAATAAAGAAAGAAAATTTAAGAGTGATTAGAGATGATTATTTATAAAATATGAGAAATCTTTTTTTAAAGATATAATGATTCATTAAAAATAGTTACATCATCCTATATCCTTTTTATAATATATAAATAAAAAATCATAAAAAAAATCTTAAAAATATTATTTTGTTAAATTGTGGCATCGCATATTTTGTGGTCCAGACTAAGAATTCATTACTAACAAAATCATTTACACAACTTAGCATTTCATATTTTTTTTAATACGTACGTAGATGCTCCATTCATTAGAGGGTCGCAGCCCAAAACCCAAATCTTGGAAACTGACAGACGAGGAAAAATAACTCACTAACATTCCTACCAAAGTTCGAACGGATCCGACAGAATTATTGGTGATATATAACCAGCCCTAGATCATAAATGTTATGGTTCTTTTGGAACTCAGTAGATTTTCAAGTCGAACTAATAATGACTTAGTTAAACTTGATCTGCATGAATTGATGGCCTCACAAGTTTTTGGATCAACTTATTATTATGTATGTATGAATATCTTTTAATACAAATATACAACTATGTAACATAATTATAAAATACTAGTAAAATAAATGCACTTGTATGTGAAAGTTACAAATCTGCAATGGAGATGTAGTTTATTAAAAAAAACTGTTTTCAATAAATTAATATTTTATTTAAATTAATAAATAAAATTACTGCATTGATTTATGTTAAAAAAATGTGTGATTATCAAAATAAATAAAAGATAAAAATATCTTTAAAATATGTACATAAAAATATTTTATCGTCTTTATATATTGTTATAGATAATATTTAAAAATTAAAATTTGTGAAATGTTTGAGTACAATAATAAATTAAATCTATTTGATATATGATAATAATAATAAATAAATAAATCAATAACCTGTTAGGAAAGATAATTGTATCCCATGATTCTTACTAAAAATATGGAAACTATAATATCATAATAACTTAATTATAGGAACAGAATCATCAACTTAATTATAGGAACAGAATCATCAAATTAGAGATACATATTTGTGTATATATTGCCTTTGTTTCTGAATAAAATTACAACTCAATTATTCCCTATTTCTCTTTCATTTTACATGGTATCAGAGCGGTAACGACCTGCACTCCTTTTCCTTCTTTTTTTAAACCATTATGGCTAACGATGAGAACAAATATGATCCCTCTTACTCCCTTCACCATTCTGATTATCCTAGAATGACTCTTGTTTCAAAACCTCTCAATGGTGACAATTATTCAACTTGGCGTCGAGCCATTACCATCAAATTGGAGATACATATTTGTGTATATATTGCCTTTGTTTCTGAATAAAATTACAACCCAATTATTCCCTATTTCTCTTTTATTTTACATGGTATCAGAGCGGTAACGACCTGCTCTCTTTTTCCTTCTTTTTTTAAACCATTATGGCTAACGATGGGAACAAATCTAATCCCTCTTACTCCCTTCACCATTCTGATCATCCTACAATGGCTCTTGTTTCAAAACCTCTTAATGGTGACAATTATTCAACTTGGCGTCGAGCCATTACCATCTCGTTAAATGCAAAATCTAAATTTGGTTTTGTTGATGGAACTCTCAAAGCACCATCTGCCAAAACCAAACCAGAAGACTATGCAACATGGAAAAAATGCAATGATATGGTATTTTCATAGATTCTTAATTCATTGACCCCTGATATTGCAGACAATATTATTTTTTATGATATTGCTCATGAAGTTTGGGAAAATCTTCAAAATCGTTTCTTTCAAAGCAATGCACCACGCATTTTCCAACTCGAGAAAGAGATTGCTTGCCTTACTCAAGATCAACTGACGGTTGCTGCCTACTATACAAAGTTAAAAAAATTGTGGGATGAGTTAGGATCCTACAATGATGTAGTTTGCACATGTGGATCAAACAACAAAAGACGCAAGTTGATGCAATTCCTCATGGGGTTGGACGAATCTTATAGTGTTGTTCGTGGTCAACTCCTTTTGATGATTCCTTTACCTGATGTTTCACAAGCTTATTCTTTCATCATTCAAGAAGAAAAGCAACGAAATTTGGGTACAAGAAGAGAGACTATTGAAGCTTCTGCCATGGTTGTTCAAAAAGAGGAATCAATAGCCCTTGCTGTTCGCCACAAATCTGGTTCATCTTCTCGTCCTAATTCTAATTATCGCAAGCCGCTACATTGTTCCCACTGTGACAGGGATCATCACACAAAAGAGACATGTTGGAAGTTACACGGTTATCCACCTAGACAGTCCAAGCACTCTACAAATAAACACTATCATTCCAAGCCCAACGACAACAATCAATCTTCAGAAAATCATGTTAGAGAGGCCCTAACAACTCATGTTCAACCCATTGTGAATGGATTAACTAAATTGTAACTGCAACAAATTTTGTTTGTTATTCAGGACAGTAGTGGAGCATCTCAATCAGTTTCTCCCAAGGCAAATAATGCCAATCTTTCTTCAGGTTTGTCCGCACCCAAGTTGATAATTGATAGTGGTGCAACAAATCACATAATTTCGTCTCCATCTTTGCTTGTCAACAGTAAAGAAAACACCTCCTTACCACCAGTTGTTATGCCAAATGGAGATCAGGCTCCTATTCTTTCTATTAGAGAGTTACCTCTGAGTCCTATAATCTATTTGAAGAATCTGCTTGGGGTGCCATCTTGTAAGGTGGATTTGATGTCTGTGAATCGAGTCACAAGAGATTTAAATTATTCAGTAACTTTTTTTCCTCAATCGTGTGTTTTGTAGGATTTGATGACGGGGACGACA